TTTTGAAACTGAAAAGACAAGATATGGAAAACGTTTGCAGATTCAAACCTTTTTCCAGTTTCAAAATAAATTTTCAGTTTCAAAATCTTTTTGTTTTGAACAAAACATATGGCCCCAATTTAGCTCCAAAATCTATTTTAAAACAGTTTCAGTATTAGGTTAATGTTCTCCAGTTTTATGTGCTACGTTATTCTTTTGGTTCACCACCAGGTGGCAGCACAACATCACTTTAACTCTTGTTTTTTCCAACAACTGGAACTCTCTTGATTTATTTATATTCAACAAGGAGTCAAAAATAAATCTCATTTCAACAAAATTTGAAAACATCRGTTTTAAAAAGAGAACGTAAACACAGAACAAACTGATACCTTTGAAAAATTCATTATTAGACACAAAACTGTCCAACTGACAGAGCCTCAGATAAACAGGGATGTAATTATCTTTCCATACATGAAGAGGAGTCATCCTGCAGTTACAAGCCTGTCCTCCATGTTTGACATCCTGATTAGAGGCTTCATACAAACAGACGGACTACATTAAATATATCATGACTGACTTCAGCTTTCCACCTAAAAGTTTGAAAAATTAACTAATAAAATTTAATTTTAGTTACATTTCTGCTTTATTTCCACAAGATAAAGAAATTATGACTGGAGATGAAGAATAGTATTACTGGGAGATTATCTCACTTTAAAAAACAAGTAAAAACTTTTTTATTTAACGAGAAGTAAAGAATTAACATTAAATCTATCTAATCTGTCACAAGATAATTTTTGATCAGAAATTAGCACTGCAAATACTTTTAAAAGTGTTAAACAAAACACATTTAACATCTTCAGATTCTGCACGGGAATGATCACAAATAAACCAAAAAACATTCATTAAAAGAGATTTTATTTTCAAAATAAAGTTTTCTATCAAAGTGGAAATTATACATATTTACAGTCTTGTAAAATTACATATACAAATGTACAAGGTATGTACAAAATAATTATATAAATACACTTCACATGCTCCTGCAACCCGTATGAGACTGTGTTCATTAAGGCATTGATAAAYGAAGAAAACAGGCCGGCTTTGGCCTCGTCTCCAGCAGACGAGTGTCGCTGTGGATGTGGCGTTTAAGACACGACGGTTCTTCACAGTTCAGAAGAAATACGAGTTTCACCTGTCGGCTACCTGTAAACCCCAACAGAAACATTAATAAAAGAATTACAAACTTTGTAGAATCGTGTGTGCTTGAAGTTTTACTGAATAAAAATTTCTTATACTAACGTATTTGAGTGAGGACCCCACTTTGGATAACGAAACACCGAGTATAATCTGTAGTAAAATGAATCGGCACAAAAACTGACCTCGAGGTTAAATATTCCAAACAGGTGAATTAAACAACTTGAGTTTCTGTTGCTGAATTTAAAAGACTCTGAGTTAATAAAGTGAAATGATTGGAGTTGAAGCCACTCATCRGGTTTTAGAGTTTTACAGTGTAAACCTATCGACAGGGGGGATCTGAGCTGCAAGCATTCAATTAATCCCAGATAAGACTGCATTCTTCCAGTCAGGTACATTGTTCCACTGCTGACGGCCTCATTATTTAAAGAGAGGCCATTAGGCGTTCATTAATGTGCTAATTACACCAGGCTGAAGGACAATCCCAACACAATTAGTCTCTCTTCGCCCCCACCTCCCTCCAGCAGCCCCCTCTGGTTCTTGGGTAAGGCACAGAAGGGACACAACTCATCCTGTAACTTTTCAAACAAATTTAAGATTTCACATTTGAGAAGCTGTTTGGTGACTCGGGTTCAATCRTTAATAAAATACAATCTTTATGTCTTTATTTGAGCCTTTAAATGAGGAAAGAAGCTGCATTTGCGCGGAAAGCCCCCCTGTTGTTCAGACCCGGGACAGGGGCATCTGTTTGGGGCAGGAYACGGAGCTGGCCGTCCCGGACCTCCAGGTCAGTCCGGTGCTCACGTCGCTGTACATGGAGCCCGCCGAGGCCTTGCTCCCCCAGCAGCAGCGCGTGCAGAAAGTCCTCCAGGTCTCCAGCGTTTTCCCGGACCAGATCCAGGCCCCTGAGGTGATCCCCACCAGCAGGCACATGAAGTACTTGAGCATGAACACGGCGTAGTCCGGCCTCTGCCTGCTCGGGTCCGCCAGGCACGTGCAGTTGTGCGTAATTTCCCACAGCTGCCTGTTGTGCTGCTCGTAGAAGTAGCACGCCACGATGACGGTGGCCGGAACCGTGTACAGCACCGTGAAGACCCCGATCCGAATCATCAGCCGCTCCAGCTTGTCGGTCTTGGTGCCCCCCTGCTTGATGACGCTCCTGATCCGGAACAGCGACACGAACCCGGCCAGCAGAAACATGGTGCCGATGAACAGGTAGATGACCAGCGGGGCCAGCACGAACCCCCGCAGGTTGTCCAGGTTCTGGTTCCCCACGTAGCAGATCCCTGTCACCGAGTCCCCGTCCACAGAACTCAGAGCCAGGACTGCGATGGACTTGAGGCTGGGGATGAGCCAGGCAGCCAGGTGGAAGTACTGGGAGTAACTGGCGATGGCCTCGTTGCCCCACTTCATCCCCGCGGCCAGGAACCAGGTGAGGGACAGGATGACCCACCAGATGGAGCTGGCCATGCCGAAGAAGTAGATGAGCAGGAAGACGATGGTGCAGAGCGCAGGACCCGTCGTGTCGTAGTGGACGTGCTCTGCGCCGTTCTCCCTGCTGCACGCGACCTCCTCGTGCCCTGCGATCAGCCTGACGATGTAGCCGACGGACACGAACATGTAGCAGGCGGAGAGGAAGATGATGGGCCGCTCGGGGTACTTGAACCTCTCCATGTCGATGAGAAAAGTTGCCACGGTCGCGAAAGTCGAGATGAAGCAGAGAAGCGACCAGAGGCCGATCCAGAAGGAGGTGAAAGTCCTCTCCTCCTGGGTGAAGTAAGGGTTGTGGCACGGCATGGCACAGTTCCTGATCTGTCCCGTTTTGACGCGGTTGTGCAGCGGGTGTCCGTCGCTGCTCACCGACACCATGGGCGCGCGGCAGAAGCAGCCCGTTTCGCACGGAGGCGCGCCGCCCGGTTTGTGTTTCCCGGGAAAACCTCGACCGAAGCCGCTCTTCTTCTTGTTGTACGGCTTCAGGGGTCGGTTCGTGGGCTTGGCCAAGACCGGGGACGCCGTGGTGGTCTGGCTCCGGTTGTAGTCCATGCACAGCGTCTCCTGGTCGCCTTGTTCCGGGAGCAGGTCGCACCTCATGCGGTCCGGCCACGGGAACCCGTACTGCCTCATGAGGGGAGCGCAGCCGGCTTTGGCCCGCTCGCACACGCTCCTGCACGGCGGCAGAGGCTTCTTGTAGTCCTCCAGGCAGATCGGCGTGTACATGCTGCAGAGGAAGAAGCGCAGGTCCGGGGAGCACTTGATCTCCACCAGGGGCCAGAACTGGTGCACCTCCAGGCCAGCTTCGTCCTGCGTGTCGTGGTTGAACTGGTTGGGCATGTAGGTGTAGTTGTAGCCCACGCCTTTGCACAGCGGGACGGAGATCTCCTGGCACTGAAGCTCCTTGGCCGCCAGGCAGCGCGTCCCGTGCAGGATGAGGGGGAAGAGCAGCGCGCACCATCCCGGGATGCTCCTCTCCATCGTCGGGCTCCTTCTGCGCGCCCCGAAGAGTGACCGGAAACTCAGCAGGCAGGTCCGATTAAAGCCCACGAAGCTGCTCCAGTCATGCTACAACTCACACAGCTCGAGACACTCCTCGGGTCAGACCAAGTCCCGCAGAAAAACAAGCGTTTAACTCTTACACAGCCCGGGTACAGCTCTCCTTTGTGTCACCTCCTCTCTGTGCTGCACGCGCTCTCTGCCTGACAGACAGGCGCGCGCTGGGCTTTATATGGAAAGAAAGAGGACACTCCCCCCTCGGCAGGAACGGGGGGTTAAGTCAAGTCAATCAGGAGTTTGCTTAAAATGTTCTCCCTGGAGGAAGGGTTATAATCACCTTGTCCATGTTTACACACAACGCTTTACAACAGGTGTGTGTGTGTGTAAAATGTGTGTGTGTGGGGTGGTACAATACTACATTATGTAGGAATGCAGTTAAGTACAGAGTGAACTCACAGCTTAATGAATGCAGTTTTTTAGGTCAACAGAACAATGAAGATGCTTCGGAGCATCATTAATGTACATAAAAAACAAATGAAAATAATAAAAGGCCTTTTGGGAAGATTCTAACGGTCTGTCAATGGCACATTTAAACAATTTAAATTTTACCTGCCATTTGTTGTTGTTTGAATGAAGTAATGCACTTTTATTTATTTTCATTATTTTTAATATGAGTAATGTCTCATCTGTTATTTATGCTTTATCTGAATGGTATGGGATTTTTTTATTATAATATGTTGACATCTTGTGTGTACACTTTTATATTCTCCTCACTTGTATTGTGCTTCATGTATCAGTGTGCAGAGGAACAACAGATGGAAACAAGGGTTTGTGTACAATCTGGCACAAAAACAATAATTAATATGAACCATTTAAAATACTTTATTTCATTCGAACATCAATTAAAACAATACAAATAATACTAATGTTGCATAAAAAACACAACACAGCATGGTCAAATGAAAAGGCGCAGAAAGAAGAAAAAATCTTGTAACATCTGCCCTCATTTAAATATATATATATATATATCTACAAAACATACAACATGCAGAAATTAAATTCAGCTTTCACAGTGTAGCTTAAAATAATCAACAAAACATCACAACAGAAATCTCAATTTCAACCAATACTTTGTTCATATCTCATTAAAAACACTTAAACTTTCTACCAAATGAATAAATAGTTCCAGCATTTTTAAGGTCATTGTCGAAGTTGTTCCACAGTTTAATTCCTCAAACAGAGGTGCATCGCTCCCTCAAATAATTTCTAATTTTTGGCTTTACAAACATTCCAAGTCCCTTCAAATTATAAACACTATCTCCCTCAACAAAACTGGATCGTATATTAGGTGGCAAAACATTTTTAAGAGCCTTATATATAATCAACAGAATCCTATCGACCAATTCCCCAAATTTCAACAATTCCAATTGCTTAAACAGAATATTTGTGGGGTGATAGTAGTGTTTTCTTGTTACTATTCTCACTGCACGTTTTTGCAAAATAAACAGTGGATTTGTAAATGTTTTACACACACTCCCCCGGACCTCAACACAATAGGTCAAAATGTTGCACAACTATAGCGTTATAAAATATAAGTAATGCATTATTATGAAATATGTCTTTGGCAAAATCATTGGCAAAGTCATTTACAAAATCTGATTGCATCGTTGTAAACATGTGATTTAGATCATTACCTAAACAAAATAAAGTAGTATCATGTGCAAATAAAACACACCTGAACAACTTTGACACATTTACCAGGTCATTAACATATATATATATATAAAATAAACAATTTAGGACCAAGCACAGAGCCTTGTGGGACACCGCAAGTAATTACATCAAAAACCGAATGTATATCATTTATTTGTACAAACTGTTTTCTATTTGACAAATAACTTGAGTGTGTATATA